AAAAAAAAAGAAGCGCGAGAGAAGGTTACCCTAGATGCGCCCGTTCTTCTGTTATCCAATTTTACTGGGATTTGGAGTGATTTGCGCCTGGTTCCCCGAGGGAAATAAATACTTTGATTAATGTAATCCTGGGCAGGGAGGTGCCACAAACCCCCCTCCCCTCGACTCTATCCTCAGGGAACGTCACTGTTTAACAAACAAAAACAAAAAAGGCAGGGACTATGGAGAGACATGAACAGTGGCTACAAACCAGGCTGCTGCAGCAACCAGACTTCTATAGATTTGATTTCCTGCGGATTTAGTTTATTTATTAATTACTCTGCTTAATAACACAATATCGTTCTTGATTAGCATGTGTAATACAGACTAATAGAATAGAAAAATACCAGCGTGTCCGTCTACTGATTTGCATAGCTACACAATAACGCTGTGGTTTGTTTTGATGCTGCTGCTGGAGGAGGGGGTGTTTAGGCATGTGTGTCCATGCTGATGTGCTTTACATCTGTATGTGTGTGTGTGTGTGTGTGTGTGTGTGTGTGTGTGTGTGTGTGAGGTACAGAGAGAGAGAGAGAGAGAGAGAGAGAGAGAGAGAGAGGGATGTGGCAGAGACTGTGAAGCAACCAGCACCCAATGAGCAGTAGGTGGAGGGACGAGGGTGGGGGTGGGGTGAGGCTGAAGACTGACAGACAAAGCACCCAAACACACACACACACACACACACACACACACACACACACACCTTCTCCTCTCTCTCCTCTCTCCCCTCTCCCCTCTCTCTCTCTCCTCCACCCCTCTGACTCAGAAAGCTGCACTTCATCTTATCTTTGCAGATCTGTCCCCCGTCACTCACCTCCTCACCAGCCGGCACTAGTGGCTTTTTTTTCTGTGTGTGTGTGTGTGTGTGTGTGTGTGTGTGTGTGTGTGTGTGTGTGTGTGTGTGTTTTGGATCAGGCCATACAGTTAAATCTTTTCCTCCCATACATATTTTATTTAATTTTTTTGGTCATAATAAACTAACCTCACTGCAACTTTTGACCTTTTATTCTCAAATTAATTAGTGCCTCACATTTATTTCACATTAACACCATATTGTTAAGTGACAAATTTGAATCTGTTGCTCTTTCTCTCTGCACCCCAAAATAAAAACTTAATTAATTTGTCTAATTCAAACACTTTTCCTACGCTGTGAAAAAAAAAAAGAAAAAAACATTTCAATCATTTAATTCAGTGCCAAAACACACACATAAAAGAAACTGCTCGTAAAAAAAAAAAGCACACACCCTGTCCTCTAAAGTGCATTTTTCCACACTTTAAACCCAAATTATGACATCCCGATAGATTTCCAATCCAAAATCAATACCAGCTGTGCTCATACAGGCCTGAGTCTGATGTGAATGAGTACTGAGCACCACTGGAAGAGTCCTGTGATAACACTAAACATATAATCTTTACCTGCATGTCAGCTCATTGGCAAGCTGGAGGCCCACAGCTTAATACAGAGCAATTACCAACCCCACAGTATAAGAGGTGTATATGACGCTATACTGGCCCTTATTAATAGAATATTAATAAAGAGCCTCTGTCTCGTTTGAATGGGTTAAGAAAAAAGAAATCCCATTCATGTCTTGAAATTGAAGGCATGTGTAATGCCTACACTGATATTCAGTGTAGCCCATTTAATTAACGGTATAGTAGCTACATTATCATTAAGTGCTCCAAGTTGGATTCGGCTTTAAATCAACGTTTGGCCCTGACGTGAGACACACTCAACGTATGTCGTATCGGATTAGTGACTGGACCAAGGGGAGGAAAATAAATTATGTAGCCCATAGGCAACTTAAGTAGGCCATAATTAAAACGGCATGGAATTGCGTCAATTTAATCTGAATATGGGTGCAGAGGAAGCTACAGGCGCCCTACACTGCGTTTACCCACCTTTTCAGGCTCACATAAATCTGTTTGTCAGGTGTCATAAATTCATGGCGGCTGCAGAAAGTGGAATCAAAGTGATGAGAGACTGTGAGGATGTTTTATGAGGGGAGAAAGGATAGATTAATGTTGTGGGTAAATTGATTTTTGTTCACATCGGACGTCTTCTATCCCCCGTTAAATGTGATTACGTTCCTATTTTAACATATTTCTTAATTAAATCATGTTTAAAACAGCAGATTTTAAAGGAAAGAGAAAGGAAAAAAAATCCAAAATCAGTGCACGGTTAGGAAACGTGCATTCAGCTTTGTGATGTATTTTGATTGGAGGGGATGCAAGTTCATGGAAGCATCTTGGAGAATTAGGCAATCTGCTCCTGCAGGAATAAATAAACGGCCTCCTGCTACCAATAACCGTCATTGTGCAGCATGACAGAATGGGTGCATAATGCAGAGTAATAACCGCACTGTGCTGCCCGGACGCTGCTGCTGGTTTTAGTGGTTTTACTGGCGATGGAGGAGAATAAGGCTTGATAGTGGCGGTCAAGCAGTGCACTAACTCCCGGTGTGATTCATGACTCCTGCAGCCCTCATTTGCTCATTTATCTCAAAGTCCTGTTTCCACAAAGCCCCTGCTGCCTCTCACTTATGGTTTATAGGCGACTGCAGATGGCGACTGTCTTAAAAAACAGTCTAATCCCAGACTATTTGCATATCAGCTAGGGCTGTCATTGATAGGCCCGCACTGATCAATACCAGCAGGTTTTTCTTCATGCAGCTCCTGCAGGAGGATAATTATATGTGTGCGGGTCTAGGCTGCAATAAAACTGGGTGGGATATCTTTAAAAAATTGGATAATTAAATTAAGGTGGTTTAATTGCCTCTGGGATTGAGGGATGGACCAGAATATAGTCGGAGCCCTGGTTTTATTTGACGTGTAGCTTCTTTAGCAAGAGCAGGAATTAGTGTGTTATTTATTAAACAGCTTATGTGCTGCCTGTGACATTGTTTTTTTTTTTTTTTCTACATTGACCCTCGAAAATCTGTCCCCGTCCAGTCATTTCCCCTCCTCGCTGCTCGGTGATATCTTAATTGCCAATCGTGTCATGCAAACCATCAATTCATGTCTGTTCAGGAGACGGTGCGCCATAAAAATTGCAATAACGCACCTTTTACACTGCAAAAACACATGCATCCATGTCAGGGAGGTTGATTCATTCCGAGTGGAATCAGCTCACCAGATCAGACTGTGTCAAATAAATAAATAAAGTAATAAATAATTAATATAAATACGTAAAAATTATTCATAAATGTGACATAAGAAGGGCAGTTTTTTTTTTTTTTTTTTTTTGCAGTGTAAGCTTGTTCATATTTGCATCACGTGTGAGCGCGACACCTGGCGGCAGTTATGATATATTTTTATGTATGATGAAGCCGACAATGACTCCCAGAGTGTGTTACGCCTCCGACTGCTGCAGACCCCGCATGTAGGGTTTCAGTGCAGCTCGGAAATAACGAATGTGAGTCCAGAGTGTGTTTAAAATCCCAGTAATTTGCAGGGATAGCTTTGAAAAGTAGTGCGCTGCGTTACTTTCCCGTTACGCACCACACAATGAGTGGTTTTGATCTTATTTTAAACATCGCGATAACTTCAAGTGACTTTAAAAAAAAAAAGTCGTTATTTGGCTCAAAAAAAATCAGAAGTACCAACATCACTTAATATATTAAATTACAATCTAGACTAAACTGTAAAAAATGACCACGTTAAGTTAACATAAACACAATTTTTTTTTTGACAATTATACCTAAAATCACAAAAAGGCACTAAAACCATATTTCTTGTTCGTGGCACAGATGGAGTAATTTTCGTTACTGTAACGCGTTACCGGCCCTGGAGCACCGGTGCTGCTGGCCCGGGGACACCGAGGAGGCTCTTTTCATCTCGACTCCAGTGCACAAACATACAGCTTAATGCGACTAGTGTTTCCCCCTTTTATGGGGCTCACCATGGCTACCAAGTGCTGGGCTCAGAAATGCGCTCCCCATCAATGAAGGAAAAAGGAGTTAACCCGTGAGAAAAGAAGGAGGAAGAAGAAAAAATAATAATAACCCTCTAAAAAGCAAAAGTATCGCGGAGGAAAGAAAAAGAACCCCAAACGACTTCTCCACACGTTGTGGTTAATGTGTGATAAAATCCTGATGGAGTTTGGAAGTTGTGACATAAATAATCTGTAAAAGAACTGCCTCTGGGACCAGATTTTTTTTTTTTAAATAAATCTGTCGTTTTTTAGTTTTCTTCCTCCTTCATTCGCTCCTTGAACGCCAAAAAAACCAAACCAGCATTCATTACAATCACGGGCTATTTATAAGCTCCGTCTGTCTGTCTGTCTGTCTGTCAGCCTGCCTGTCTGTCTGTCTTGGTGGGTGCAGTTTACAGGACCGAGCTGCGGTCGACAAGCTGCTGTGTATAAAACTTTAAACAAACTTTGCAGCGGCGAGATCGATTTCTATTAAACGATTTCATATTGCACTTGCCTACGCGATCCCTCTGGAGGATTCAACCGAGGGGTCTCTCTCTCTCTCTCTCTCTCTCACACTCCCCCCCTCTCTCTCTCCCTCTCTCTCTCTCTCTCTCTCTCTCCCTGCTTAAAATGTGATTGATTGCACTTTTCTCCGGTGGACATTCACTACAAAACAGCACAGCTTATCCATCTGCCCGCTATTTATATATAAAAAAAAAAGCACCAAAAAAAAAAAGGCTGTGGCGCAAAAGCAAACAGCGCCGCGCGTATTGATTTTTACGCATTCAAAGGAGGAGGAGGGGAGGGAGGGGGGTGTAAAGGGAAACGGACACGCATTTGCAATTCGGTTTTAAATATAAGTTAGGGAGAATATGAGTGCACATTCGGCGCAGAAGTGAGCTTAGATATCGTTTTTAAAGGCAGCGAGCGGTCCATGGAGAAACATATCGCATGGCACAGTGGAGCAATGCGCCCGCGAGAAGGCGATAAACTCTTAACATTCCTCAAGCGTAAAAAAAAAGAAAATCCGCATAGATGATTGTTGACTTACCTTGTGTCCAAGAAAAAGGGAAATAGCTTCACATTGTTCACACGGAGCCTGTAAACGGTTATCTCCCTTTCCTACGACTCGGTGCTCCCTAAGATTTTCTTTCCTCTGCCTCAACTGAGCAGGAGCACTCCTCGGCTCCCGCTATTATTTTCACTAAAATATATGAAAATTTATGCAAATGAAAATCAGCACTAACTGTTCGTCTCTTGTTATACTTGGGGATGATTTTTTTTTCCTCTCCCCCCTTTCTTTCTTTCTTTCTTCCTCCTTTTTTTTTTTTTTTTTTTTTTTTTTGCATACAAAATAAATGAACTCCCCCAGCAGGGAACTTGGGGACCTTTTTATAATAAGCAAATAAATAATAAACACATCATATATCAGAGAGGAGTGTTGTTTTTGGTTTTTTTTAACTGCTCGTTGATTTCGGGCAGCATTTCTGGAGCAGCTTTTTGGCTCCTTTCATATATTCTGTGTATATATTTTTTCATTTTGAGGGGTTATCGTGTAGTGAGGAGCCCTCTTCTCTGCTCACTGGTGTCACGTTTCCACTGGCCGCCTGAGACGCCCTTTCAGAAAGCGTGCAGCGTGGATTGAACAGCAGCAATTTAGAGCGAAATCCTCACTGTATATTAATGAATGGAGGGCCCCATGGTTCTGGCCCCTAGCCTGCCTATTCAATGTAAACAAATCCACGAGGCTCCCTCGGTTTTGAGCCCAGTCCAAATGAAATCTACTGGGATGAGAAGAAGAAGAGGGAGGAAGGGGGGGGGCACTGGCATTGAGTACACAACTTCTCCCCTGCCTTATATTTGCACTTAAATCCCCTTTGCGTCAAAAAATCTTTGGGCCATCTTTGGTTTGAGGGGCTTACGGGCGGTGTTTGGGGTTAACGCGTGACATGTGGCTCTAACCTTTAGTACATAATACAGTTAATCCTGTCAGAGAATCACCTGCTGCAGGCCGGTGTGCGGGTCAGGTGGACTCAACAGGCTGGCAGACACCCTCAGCTCAAGCAATGGGTGCAGTGGGACCTATATATCTGGCGCTTATTACCACCCATGGGTGCGTCCATACAGGCGCAAGGGGGTCCCACGCACTAACAAAGGCCCCATTCATCTCCGGGGTTGTGCGGTCATGTTAGAGGGATGGAGCGCGTTTTAAGAGATATATCTGTGGATGTGTGTGTGTGTGTGTGTGTGTGTGTGTGTGCCCCCCCCCCCAGGACTGCTCAATTTGCCCTTGTTTTGGTTGCCACTCTCTCTTTCACTGTGCCTCAGTGAGGTTGCCTGCGCGCATCATCCCCGCAACCTTTGTGCGTTAACTCCTGAAGAGCCGCGGCGCAGGACTTGTGCTCACGGCTGCAGTGGCTTCTTCTTCTCCTCCTCCTCCTCCTCCTTCTTCTTTTCTTTTTTTTTTTTTTTTCTTTTTCTCTGCACTCAAATCATGACATACACGTCCTCTCTCGGTTGTGTAGCCGCTCTGACACGAAGGTGCAGCGTCATGCTTTTCCTCTTCACTATCATGAGCCTTTTTTTTTTTTTTTTTTAACTTTTATATGCTCATAAACAATTAACTTGAGCTGGTTAAAAAAAAATCTTGTCATTTCAACACACAACACACGTCATCTAGCCACGTGGGTTAATATGCCAAGATAAAGCAAGCACCGTTTAGTGAACCTTTTTATTATTATTTTATTCATTAAGTCTTTCCTGTGTTTTTCATGGGTGGCCCAGAGGGAATTAAACCCCCTAACCGTGGCAGTGTGGATGCCTTATTCTATTACACAATCAGGGTCAGGTTACCAGATAATTATAATTGTTAGCAATAGATCTTATAATGTCAAATGCGTGCAGGTTTTGAATAAAACTCCGGAGCCTCGCATTACTCCTGGATATATGTTTGTAAGAAGAATAACAGAAGATAAAACTACTTCAGTAAAGTCAGATAGAGTTGATCCATCTATTGGAGCTGACTGAGTCTTCACAGCACGCGTTTATATTCAAAAATATACTTTTAACCTGGTGTATTTCTCTATAAATATAAAGGGAAATAACATTTTGAAGCTTCTTGTGGGACAAATTAAAAGTTTATCATGACTGTGGTTGGACTCACACACCAGAGGTCACACTTTATCAACCTCTTTTATTCACCCCTTCACCCCCGTTCGTGTGCTAATACCTCTGTACTATTTACTACCAAGTTGTGTTCCCCGTTTTGTTTGGACTGCAATTAAAAATCAGCCAATCGGAACAGCCGGAAGGAGGGCTCGTGCGCCCCGGAGCAAGGCTGGCAGAGACCTGCCAATCACACCCCGGGTAACCAATCAGCGGGGACGCACGGGGGTAAACATCCGTGCGTGCGTCTGGGGCTGGAAGGGTGGGCGGGACTACGCGGGCTGTCAGGGAGAGAGAGAGAGCGGCAGAGAGATATAGAGAGAGAGGTGGAGAGAGAGAACAAGCGAATGAGAGAAGAGGCTCGCAAGCAGCGCCGTGCACTGTTATACCGGATTGTACTTCAACGGGAGTTTGCGGTTTGGCAGGTTTATATACATCAAAACAGAACAAAGAGAGAGGCTCTACAGTGCTATAAAAGAAGAGAGAGAAAAGAATAAAGCGAGGGAGAAAATCTCGGCGACTGAATTACAAAAGAACTGAGGACACTCTGCTAATGTTTTCCACATCCAAAGGGGACATAAACCGGGACTTTGTACATTGTGGAGAATTTGCAAGGCTTTTTTGTTTCCTGCGACCACCAAAAGTTTGTTTGGGACGACGCTCTTTCCCCGTATATTTTCATTTTAACGTCCACAATTTCATCCCGGCGCAAAACTTTCTGAGCGGACTGCACATGGTTTCAAAGGGCTTTTGAAAACCTGGAATTTTCTCGCCGATCCCGCTGCACAAGTGTTTGAAGTAGAATGTTGTAAATACATGCGGATTTTATTCACTTGTCTGCCACAGTTTTTTCAAGCTTTTTTTTTTTTTGTTTTGCGTTTTTTACGCACGTCGATGGTATTTGCCAAGAAAAAAAAAACCTACCCATACTTTTAAAGTTTGAATAATTCATGAGATACAATTTGCCTGCTCGAAAGAAGTGACTGTAAAAAAGGGAGGGGGGTTATCCACAAACATATTCATAAGGGCTGACGGAATGGCCACCGCGGCTTCCAATCCTTATCTGCCCAGCAATAGCATCTTATCGTCCGGCTCCATCGTGCACTCTGACTCCGGAGGTGGTGGCATGCAGCCGGGCAGCGCTGCGGTTACCTCGGGGTCGGGGGGCTACAGGGGAGACCCCTCAGTCAAGATGGTACAGAGTGACTTTATGCAAGGCGCAATGGCAGCGAGCAACGGGGGGCACATGCTGAGCCATGCCCATCAGTGGGTGACATCCCTTCCGCACGCCGCAGCGGCCGCAGCAGCAGCCGCGGTCGCTGCAGCCGAAGCCGGATCGCCCTGGTCGTCGAGCCCCGTCGGGATGACGGGCAGCCCGCAGCAGCAGGACGTGAAAAACTCCGGCAGAGACGATCTGCACACGGGCACCGCGCTGCACCACAGGCCCCCTCACTTAGCCCCCCACCAGACTCACGCCGGGGCCTGGGGGAGCACGACTGCGGCTCATATTAACTCCATATCCGGGGGACAGCAGCAGCAGCAGTCGCTCATCTACTCCCAGCCCGGTGGCTTCACTGTGAACGGGATGCTGAGTCCGGGGAGCCAGAGCCTGGTGCACCCGGGCTTGGTGAGGGGGGACACCCCGGATCTGGACCACGGCAGCCACCACCACCACCATCACCACCAGCATCCGCATCACCAGCACCACGGCGGCATCAACAGCCACGACCCGCACTCGGACGACGACACGCCGACCTCGGACGACCTGGAGCAGTTCGCCAAGCAGTTCAAACAGCGGAGGATCAAACTGGGCTTTACGCAGGCGGACGTCGGCTTGGCTTTGGGCACCCTGTACGGGAACGTTTTCTCTCAGACCACCATTTGCAGATTCGAGGCTCTGCAGCTCAGCTTCAAAAACATGTGCAAGCTCAAGCCTTTGTTAAACAAGTGGCTCGAGGAGGCCGACTCGTCCACCGGCAGCCCCACCAGCATCGACAAGATCGCGGCGCAGGGGAGGAAGCGAAAGAAGCGCACGTCCATCGAAGTGAGCGTCAAGGGGGCTTTGGAGAGCCACTTCCTGAAATGCCCCAAACCCTCGGCCCAGGAGATCACCAGCCTGGCGGACAACTTGCAGCTGGAGAAAGAGGTGGTTAGAGTGTGGTTTTGCAATAGGAGACAGAAGGAAAAACGGATGACGCCCCCAGGAGTGGCACAGACGCCGGAGGATGTGTACTCTCAGGTCGGCAATGTGAGTGCAGAAACACCGCCCCCCTCCATGGACTGCAAAAGAATGTTCAGTGAAACATAGAAAACAGCACACAAGAATATTTTATATGAATTAAACTGATAACAAAAAAAAAAAAAACATACAGACTATCGCCAAGATAGCCAAATTTTTTGATACTGTGATTGTGAGGGAATATGAATGAGACTGCAAATGTGTTATCTATTTTTCACCAGAAAAAAACAAACAGAAAGAGAAAAAAAATCAACCTTTTCCCCCTTCTTTTTCCTCCCAAAAACCCCCCACTTCAGTGAAACGCACCGTACACCTTCTTCCAGGCCCTGAAATGTCTTAACCTAAAAGGTTCCTTCTGCTTTTTTCTTTCAGGGGCATTTTTTAGTAGATTACTTAAAAGATGCGAGTGAAGCGAGCGACCAGAGGGTGACAACTACAAGTTCATTCCACCAGGTAATTTTGGCGCATTAAAACACACCAAGAGGAAACCAAGTATTGTTTTTTTGTTTTTTCTTTTTGAATATTTTTCTCCTCCTCCTCTCCCCCCCTCCCCCCCCAACCTCCAAAAAGAAAAAAAAACATTCCCCCTCATTATCCTGTGTTTGATTGAAGAAACAAAGGAGCAGGCATTTTGTATATTTAGAAATGGGACTGAACCGCCTCCCCTCCAAGCCTAACAATAACAGAGAGAGGGGGGGACAGCAACAATATGAACAAGAGTGACATCCACGAAGCTTCCATCATGATTTCCAGCGATTTTATTTTTTTTCCTGAGGTGGACTGCATGGTTTCATTGACGGAGGATTAGGGATGTTTCCTTTTTTTCATGTCTGAGGCCCTCATCAATGAGAAAAGACAACCAGGACCAGGACTTGTCCCCCCCCCTACCCTGCCCACCCTCCTCTCTCCCCACCACCGCCTGATCTCAAAGATCACCTGTTTTTTAATTATTATTATTTAATGGACTTTGACACCGTGAGTGGATTTTTCTCCTTCTTTTTTTTTTTTCAACAAATAGAGCATAAAGACATTTGAAAAAGACTTCAACTGCACTTATTTGAGAAAAAAAATCTGTTGCCAAGTGTGACTGAGTGGGTGCTGTGGATATACTATTAATGCTGCCCTTTCTAAGCAGTGTTCTTTGGTAGGTTTTAATAAACAAAACTCTGTAAAGCCGGCAATATAGATCACTAGATCAGATACTGATCTGAGTTATTTACTTTATATTTTTCATCAGACTTGTTTTAATATTTTATTCGGAATACATATGAATTATTCCAAACGGTAATTTATTTTTCCCCCCAGGAACTTGTGTAAGATGCTTCCCCCCCTTTTTATTTTCTTGTTTTATTTCAATATTTCTTTCTCGTATTTTTTGTTGCTGCCCTTATTTGTTTTAATTTTGTATTCTCGTTTCTAAAAAGGAGCACAAATCATCATAAACTGACATTGAACCGTTGTTAGGTAATAAGGGTATATTTTGATGTGATAATTTGATTGTAATTTAATTTCAGTAGTGGTTCCGTACGAGCTGATTGAGACACAATAAATTTGTTAGAATGAAATGCAATCATCTTGTGTTCTGAAATTTATATTCTGATCCTGCATATTGCTGGTATGTTTTTTATTTTGAAGGGGGAATCACCCTGTGTGCTATTTTTTGCATGCACAGCAGCAGCTAATGAAGAAAATGGTGGACTATTTTGTCCCAGATGAAGCTGCGAGCTAAGAATAACCTCCATTAGAATAATGCAGAACAAAGGCTCTTTGCAGGCTGAAACGTGAAAATACTCCTTTAAAACTTAACAAAAGGGGGATTTTTTTATTTGCTTAAATATATATATTTAAAAAAAAACACAAGTTGGCGTGTTGAGGTGGCGTTTAGTGCTTTAGGAGCTCGTAAGTTATTGCCTAGGCTTAAATAAATGTCCACCAGCGTTGTTATTATCATCCCATAACTGTATATTACCATTTAAATGAAGCATCGCGGTCAGTTGCAGGCCTGCACAATGGTTCGTCTGTTTGTTTACATCTGCTGCCTCTTGAGGCCTTGGGCGAAAAGCAGGAGCCCTAACCTCAGTCTGCAGGATGGGAAATGTTATATTTTGTGTAAAAAAAAAAAAATTTAAAAAAAAGAAATAAGAAAAGAAAAAGAGGGAAAGAGAGAAAGAGAGAGAGAGTATCAGAAGAAAACCCCCCAAACGGACAGCAGGCAGACGCGTCCATACTGTGAGCGTCCCAGCGTCCTGACTGCATGTTATGTAATGTTTACGTTGCAGATCATAGTCCAGATACTGAATCACATAACAGTGACAAACACATCATTATTAGGCTGCTTTATGAGCGCCTGAGTCACGCGCTCCTCACTGTAATCTGCAAAATAATTGATTTACACTCATGGAAATGGCAAAAAAAAAAAATAATAGAATTTATAGCTGGCTGCTTGCAGGATTGTAAATGAGAGCACAACAACAACAACAAAACTTAAGCCTTTCATATCTCCATCCGGCCTCAAAAGCTCAAAGAAGCCGGCACCAGGTGTGTGTAGTGCAGGTAGAGAGAGAGAGAGAGAGGGAGAGAGAGAGAGAGAGGGTGAGGCTGCCGTGTTGTTTGTGGGATGCGGGGCACTGGGTCAGAGAGCTTATTGATTGTGTCTGTCCAAAAAGCTGAGCAGCCCACAGGCTCAGCCTCTCTCCCTGCAGTTTACTGAGGATGGAACAGTGAAGTGTTGTTTGACATGTCGGAGGGCTGCGGATTAATATCAGGGTGGCTGTTTCACGACCTTTGACAGGTTTTTCGAGAAGGTGATATTAATATTGTTTTTACAGTAAAAAAAATATTCCTAACGTGAAGTGGCATTGTGTGTTGTATTATCTGATTTCTTACACTGATTCTAAGTGATGCTTTAGCTGTGGCACAGGTTATTTTATTCCTTTTTTTTTTTTTATTCCAATTTTTTTTTTCGTCACGGCTGCAAAAGGCAAAATGTGTTTCAAACTTTCTTTCTTTCTTTCTTTCTTTCTTCTTTCTTGAGTTTCTTGAGCTCGCCTATTCAGCAAAACTCAACAAAACGTGTCCTCTCGCTGCAGGATTTGAATTTCGCGGATGATTTCCCATACTAGTTGCTTAGCAACTGAATTCAGTGATATAGAGAAGTAGGCATCATTTTTCTTTGTCTCCATTAGTAAAAGTGGCAGCAGAGACACGCTGTATATGCAGCCCCTCAAAAAACTTTCGATTTTGTCATTTATTCACGAGCGTGCTGAAGGCGTTTGGGAGCACGTGCGGTGTTTTTAAAATGTCTGTCTGCTTAAAAGAGATGAGGACTATTAATGAGGTTAATGCACATACAGGAGGCTGCTCACCTAACTCTGTTTAAAGTCAAATATCTGCAGGAACAGGACAGAATAATAGGCGTTTTAAAAATAAAGCCCGCGTGCAAGTGAGGCTCTGCTTTGGCCTGATATTGCCTCACCTATATGCACGTGCTCATTATGCATGCAGTTCCTGTAGCTCCTCTGCTATAAAATCCAATGCAAAGTCACATGACGTGCTGAAGATAAGCCTGCTCCCGCCGCCCAACGCACAACACCTTCAGCACAGAGAGGAGCACTCGGGGTTCACGTGCACCCGCAGACCTGCGCAGTTTAACGCGGATCCCGCAAAAAACAAAAAGAGAAAAAAAAAAATCCCAAATCTAGTGAGAGAGATATATATATTTTTTTTAAAAAACCAAAGGCGACACAGAAAGAGTTTCAAATCTCATAATGGGTTTTGGTGCGCCTATTCTCCAACAGCTTTGCCTTTTTCATGGGTCTTCAAAAACCATGTTGGCAGCAGCGTGTGTGTGTGTGTGTGTGTGTGTGTGTGTGTGTGTGTGTGTGTGTGTGTGTGTGTGTGTGAGGCGTTCAGGCCCTAGGAGCACTTTGCTGCTTTCCCTGCTATTGATTCAGGACGCCAGTGGCCCAACAGGCTCGTCGCGCTAATTAAAGGTGCTCGTTGTCACAGCACTGTGCGCTTTAAAACGAGACTTCAGCAGGGAAGTGGAGGGATTTGTCCCTTTTTTAAAAACAAAACAAAAACAAACCTAACTTTTAATGCCTTATTATTAATATTAATATTAATATTTTCACAACACCCAACAACCAGCGCCCCTTCAATCTGACACTGACATGTTGTAACCCAATGACTGTAACCGTAGAAATGTAATAAAAACCTTTTAATGAGAGATTTATATTTTATACACCCGTCTGGGAAAATTACATACAAATATATATCTCTATTAAACTTTACACTGTTGTACATGGTTTGTAGTTTTAGGCCCGACCTATAAGTGTATTTAAATATGACCTTTTATACACATGACATTGCTTTGTAGGTGTGGTTTTATGCCTGTGAATATCATGTAGTGTGTTTATTACAAGGCTACATTCAGAGTTTCATGTTATATGTATAACGCACACTTTAGCTCACTTTTTAATTATATATAGGCATAACACGCTTTTAATTATACTGATTATCTGTGTATATGTTTTTTTTTTTTTTAGAGCCAGCTTAATTACAGGCTGTTTATGCTCTTAATGAGAGATAATATAAAGTATAACAGACGCTTCTACTATATCAGACAGTCAGCTTATAGGTGCACTTACACTGTGTGTCTCCTTGGAAAGAGCAGTACATGTAAGGTGTCATTCTGACCTGGTGAAAACTATGCATATACACAAATGGTCCCACCCCCCACCCCACCCCACCACCAACCCTCCTCATACTGTATTTACTCCACGTGTCGAGCGCATGAATATGGATTATTCTGAGCTGTTCTCCACAGGGAGCCTTCCTCTTCCACGTCCACATGGATTTATCTCTGCTGCAGGAAAAAAAAAAGAAAAATATCCTTCAGTCTGGTTGTGACTGCTGACTTTAGATCATTATTACTGCTGTTATTTTACAGTAAGTATGGCGGCGTGTTTCCTCGATTCATCCCTTGTTTGTGTTGTTATCATCGTGGCAACTCCACAGGCGAATGTCACCTTTTTTTTTTTAAAGATTATTCCGGCACCTTATTTTATTCTATTTAATTCCAAACAGTTGAGGAATTACCGTGTTTATTGCTTTAATTTATTTAATTTAATCAAAACACATATGTTTCGCAGTTATTATTCTTGTTACCACATGTTGGAGTTAATGCATATATACATAAATTGGCTATTAATGAGTGTGCAACAACACCATTATTGTTATTATTATTATTATTATTATTATTATTATTATTATTATTATTATTATTATTTTGTTGGTTTTTATATAATTGTGCACGACATTTACGGGACACTTTTTCTACAAATAGAAACAATCAAATTCAGGACAGCATCTAAACAAAAGATCCTAACAGGCCTCCGTGTAAATATGAGGACGTTTTAAAATGTGACGTGACTCTCGGGGGTTTCCTCTCTATAAATTGTGAAGGTCATGGTTTTGTGAGCAGGCAGGATGGATAGGTAAGAGGAGGGGGTGACTGGAGTCTGAAGGCAAGCTCAGCCACACAGAGGTAATGTACTTCAGCATCTCATCTGCCTGTCTGCGTTTTTTCAGAGGCACATAAAGGCTGCTTCTCCTCCCTCCTTCCTTCCCAAATGCGGATTTAACGCCTTTAATTCTACAACACCAGCGGGTTTGTTAGATTTCATTCACGCACTTGTAACTGACAAATAGTCACAGAGTCTTATTTTTATATATTTTTATTTATTAGTTGTTGTTTTTTTATTTACAAATATCGATTATTTTCTGTTTGGATATTTAAAGTGAGAATAAACCTTTAAACTTGACTGCAAATAAATCACATTTGAGCCTTTTAAACTGGGGAAAAACCTACAATATGCCAGCAGCTGTTCATAATGTCTATTATGTTTTTTATTTAGTGTTTTATTTGATATCCTAAAATATTCACAACACTCTTATAATCGTCCTATTATATTACAATAGGTCTGCGTGAGATAATACATCTACATAATTCCTCTGTGTTCCCATAATACTCCTTTTTTTGGAGTCACATACTTTAATTTCCACTCTTGCTATCAGCGTGCTGTTGCTGTGCGAACTTTACCAGCGTCTATTTGCATTTTCCCCAACCTTTTCCACACACTGTATATTTTAAGGAAAGTTTTCTGGCCGCAGAAATAATCCCGGCTCTGCTGTAGGTCAGTCCACACACACACACACACACACACACACACACACACACACACACACATATATATATATATATATATATATATATATATGTATATAACCCTGCACGGATTTAATAAAAACACACACACAAATAAATCAGATATTTAATTATTTGTGTTTGGACATGTTGTCAGCAGCTTGTTTGCAAGTTCTTCTGGGTCACTCATTTGACTCAATCGTGTTTAAAAAAAAATCATCTCTGAGAGAGAAGGGAGAGAGTGTGTGTGTGTGTGTGTGTGTGTGTGTGTGTGTGTGTGTGTTTGTGTGTGTTTTAGAGGAAAAGTTGCAGCAGTAATAAAAAAAGGCCCACACTGACACACTGCTGCTACATTCCTGTAA